CAGTCTGTATAAGGCTATTGGCATAGGGAGCAATCCTAAGCCAGTCTTTTTTTATTCAGTGAGGCTCACTCCAAGAAAACTGTGCTTTATGCTTGCAGTCTAAATTAGTTTAGATCTAGCAACTTGTTAAAATGTGGCTTTTGAGACTGGTCATGAATATGACAAAGCAAGTCATGTATTGTATCACTGTTCACATTGTACATAGACTTTCAGTCAAATAGCATGCACATTGTTCTTTGCTTGCAATGGAGAAATAACATTCAGTAGCCACCAGTCCTTGCTTCTGGAAAGTTCTGGGAATTTACACTGCAATCCTAAACAGAATTACATGCTTTAAAGTCCATTGAAGTCAGAGGGTTTAAGAAGGGTTTAACTCTGTTTAGGATGGCACTGATAGTCTTCAAGTAAGGGGTTTTGCTTAGTGTCCTTACTTTTCACATTCTCTCCTAAGCATTTTCAAATCCTGTAACGCAAATGGCATGTGAGCTGTATGACCAGATGTTTTTCTTTGTAGTCCTGGTGGGATAAAGACTTCGTTTAGTTGCAAATGGGTATGTTTTGTTTATGTAAATCAATTAGCATGCATGCATGTTTAGGAAACTTAACAAATGCCAGAATCCAGTGGCATTTTATCAACAGAATAAAGGTTTCTTCAGCTTACTTATGTTTAACAAGGTCAACGATCTCTTCCCAATAAAATGCTAACCAGGAATATTTTCACAGGATATTTTAGGTGTAGCTCTCCAAGAGCCAGCATGTTTAAAACAGAAGCCATCATCCTGAGAAGAAAAATTATGCTAATCCCCAGAAAAGAACTTGATCAGTAATTAGGCAGTGGCCTCTCATGACTAAGAGATACCAGACCATTCAGAATGGAAATTTAATTTGCATGGCATTTTACTTATGTGTGCTGGAATGTCAAACTCTGAACCTGTTTTTAGCAGTGAGGAAACACAACTTTTAAAAGTGACACAGTATTCAGAGTTTACTTTTCTTAGGAAGTGAAGCCATACAGAAAAGGTTTGCTGCCACCAAGAACAAAGGGGTAAAGGACTGTTGGACCACCTCCGTTCATTTCAGTAGTGCAGTGACAATGTCTAGTGCACTGAGTTCAGGTTACCATATATAAAAAAAGAACCCAAATTATTCTTTCTCCACAGGAGGACTTCAATAAGTTCTTAGCACTACTGACAGCTTGAGTGAATAATGTGTACCTCAAAAGTGGGATTCTCTCAAAAAAGAAAGGAGACTGTTCCATTATGGAGATAGTATTATAGTTTCATTGAGTGTTTGGAAGCTACCTTACACTGAGTGAGATCACTGGCCCATCTAGTCTACTACAGTCAATACTGACTTGTAGCAGCTCTTGGAGGTCTCAGGAAGAGGGTCTATCCCAGCCCTGAAATCTGACAACTGAAGATGCCAAGGATCAAACTGGGTGGGACCCATTACATTAAAAAAAATGTGTTCACCATTGAAGTATGGAATCACACCAATCCAACAAGTTCCTAACCAAAGTGTATGACCCATCCTGGAACTCACCTTGAATTGGACAGCAATAGTACATAAGAGAGCTCTGAGTTTTGGGAGCATTTTTAATGGATGGCAATATGGGTCATGGGTCCATGTATGATCATGTGGCAGGGATCAATGGTAAGGAGACAGGGTCAGGATGCTGCCCGTTTGGAATGCAAAGCCCAGGTCCATCTAATTTCATTACATGCAATTGTCTCACGTGCACTGCTGTGATTGGTATAAAACCCTGGGGTAGATGGCTTCCGGGACTGCGAAGTGCTCCCTTCCTTACCTAACCAGAAATTCAATACCAGTATTTAGAGAAGAACTTTAGAAGACAAAATACTTACGGTTCCCCCCCACTGTGTATATTTTCATGAGCAAGCACAGGGCGCTGTGGCTGAAATGAAATGAGTTGAAATGTAGTAAGAGAAGAGACGATCACAAGTGGCGATATAGTTTAGCACAGTCCTGCAACCTGTGCAGCCCAAGGTCTGTGATATGCACAGTGCAATCCTAAACAGAGTTATGCCACTGGATGGGCTTAGGATATCTCTGCTGAGGATTGTTCTGACAGCTCATATCTGGCTGTGCACCGCTGCTCACAAGGTGCTCAATTAACCTCTCGCCTCTCTGGCCTTGGAGCTGCATAAAACAGGGTCAGTCAAATGGCTGAGAGGTCATGAAGCGTTGCTTGCTGGGCTGCAGACAGCTCAAGCATTGCAGAACTATTTTAACTACTGTCCGTTTGATCCTATTTGGTGTTGTGCAAGAAAAAGAGAGGTTAAAATATAGAAGAGCAAACACTAGAAATTTCTGCAGAACGTTTTTTTTTTGCAACTTTTTAGTCTTTATCTTCAGCCTAGATCTCACCATGCCAAAGTAAGCAGATAAGGTTCAGCCATTAGCATCATACAAACAAACTCCATAAAGATGTACACGCAGGTAAATGGGTGCTGTATGAATGTGCACCTGAAAACAAATCAGTCTGAGCTTCACCAACTGGACAAGCCGTCATTCCTTATGATTGCTCAAGACAGCATTCTCGCAGACAGAACCCTCTCGTAGATAACCAGCAGCCAAAACATGCTGCACTGTTTCTGATACTGCCTTGTCTCAAGAGGACTGAAGAAGTTATTTTTTTAGAAAAAGAAACATCCTTAGGGGATGAGAAAAGACCAAAACAAATTCTTGAAAGAATGCACATAATGAATGAATGTAACCTTATAAGGGAAAATGGTAATCATTGCCAGGATAATGAGTAGATGAAAAGAAATGTTCACAGTTTAGCATTAAACTGAGTTCTGAAGAACAGATTTATCACTTCCAGTACACTTACTTGTAAAAGAAACCATCTTTAATGATATATAAAGATGTACAAATATAATCTAGTTTAGGAAATACACAATGGGAATCAGTAGTTTAGGATTATGTGGTTTATGGCTTCCCCCATATACAGGTTCAAGAACTATGTCATTAGCATTCCTTTTCATAACTGTTTGGAAATCTTCATATGGTTAAGATGCATGTTATTCTGACATCATGCCTGTTTCATGAATGGGCGTGATTCTGAGTGACCTGTGATCAGAGTTATAAATTAAACCACATGATAGTATAAGGCTGCACGGAGACAGCTGTCTGTAAATTCTTCTAGGGATGCATGCAATCAGCTGTGGATGTGTGAGAGAGATCGGCAGAGATGGGCAGTTAGAGAGGTTGCCTCCACAACCAACTGGACATGCAGAGTAACAGGGGACATACTAGAGTCTACCTAATTTCACTATGGGGTCACACTGTGGGTGTCCACCCATACAGTTGCATGCATTCAACACTGAATTTACAAGTGCACCCTAGATCACAAACTGTTGTCTGCATTCATCCAAAGTCGTTATCACCTTGGGGGGGGGGGGAGTTTTGCGCATTCATCCTTAGGTGCCCACATTCAGGATTCAGAACATTCTGTAACTCCAGCTCCCTCTCTCCCAGGAAGCTGCCCAGCTGTAGAGCATGCAG